CTGCGCGACGGCCGATGCAGGATGAAGCTTATGTTTGAAGAAAATGTCCTGGTTGTATGTGGGCTGAGATACTGCCAGGGCGCCCAGACCTAGACAGGAGGACCATTAGGGTCCTCACCCAAAGCCTTTGGCTCAAAAGCCAGTTCGCAAGGCAGCGGGGGGAGGGTGGTAATGATTTAGTTTTACATAAATGGACGCCATCCCATTTCAAACCCCCAACCTGGAGGACCAGGAGACTGAGTTAGCCTGACTTCACACCACTGACCAACCTGGCAGGAGTAGCTCTCTAGGTGCCCGGAGGCATCACCCATTAAAGCTAAATGGGTCAATGAGGTACGCAAACCGACGCACCATTTAAAGGTCTAGTCTCGGTATATATATATATATATATATATATATATATATATATATATATATATATATATATATATATATATATATATATATATATATATATATATATATATATATATATATATATATATGGTTGGCGGCATCCGGTTTCGGATTTGCCTGTCACTGTGGCAAGCCACAGGACGCCTGCGCCTACAGAGGGATCATGGATGGCTTGCGCTGCACCAGCCACAGCTCCAACCACACACCCCATATCCAGTGTAAACCCGAAGGAATAAGACCGGGAGGCATGCGGATGGGAGCCACGTTTCATCAACGGAGACGGCCCACACTCCTTCACAGGCAAACACAAGCACACTGTATTTGGGAATCAAGCGCACACAAGGCGGTGGCTGGACCGTAGTCCGCTCCACACTGAGTGCATGGAACCACTCTTCGAGCCTAACACGGCCACAATGACCGTGCACCCCGTCCCCTCCAGCAACGACCAACTGTCTCCTGGAGCCAGTATGGACGACGTAGTGGGTAATAGACAGGTAGGCACCTTGTCAACATGCACATCAAGCGCTGCCACACCGGGGATATCAAACAACAGCCAATCACTTGAGAGAGAAAAAGAGAAAAACTCGATTAATGCATAAGGGAACGGTGACATAAACCTTAATTAAATAGCATACGTAATAAGTTGTTTACAAACAAATCCCAGCTAAGTGCACGAGGTCAGGAAGTATAGTTCACGGTATGCCACGAACACAAAAATGTTATGGAAATCGAATACAATTGGCTGAAGCGATGTGTGCAAGTTAGTGGAATGGAGTACAGGGAGATATTTATAGGAGAAAGAAAAGCATTAAGGTAAAAACTGTAAACCCACCACCTGAAATAAAGAGCATTAGCCTGCAAGCATGCGGTTAGTAAATCGAATTCAGCGTGCCTACAAACGCTGCGCCGGCTCGTCGTAATTCTCTGCAGGACCCATCGTCGCTTCTGTAGTGGCCCCAAATGGCACAGCGCATGGCCTACTAGACATTTATATGAGAAAGAAAGGCATTAGAAGAGAACCGAAAACCCACCACCTGAAATAAAGAGACTTAGCATGCAACCATGCGGTTAGTAAATCGAATTCAGCGTGCCTACAAACGCTGCGCCGGTGCCGCCTACGTTCACTGCGGGACCCGTCGTCGCTTCGGCAGTGGTCCCGAGTGACCTCTCTCATGGCTCACTAGGCCTGCCTGACTAAGGCACTCGCGACCGCATGTTCTACAACACAATGCGCTCGATGTCGATGGAGTACAATTCATCGGTGCTTGCCGCTTCCGCACTTGCCGCTTCTTCTCTGCATGCATGAGGGCTTTCTCCCGCACCTCAGCAACTGCCTTCGTGATTAGATCGCGCCATGCACGCCGATCAACCGCCTTCGATTCCCATGATCTGCAATCAAGATTAGAACGTGTGAGGCTCACTTTAATCATGTCCTGGTAACGTAACTTTGGTTTCCCCACGTGCCGCTTCCCAATACTCAGCTGACCGTATAAGAGTTGTTTCGGTATCTGCGTCGAATCCATACGGCTCACATGACCGAGCCATCTCAGGTGTCTCAATAAAAGTATGCAGTCCACTGCATACATCCCACTTCGGCGCAACACTTCCGTGTCTGCAACTCTGGCGCCCCAGCCGATCCGCAAAATTCGTCGCAGACACTGCTGATGGAACCGCTCGAGATATCGCACATCCCGACGGTACATCGTCCACGTTTCACTGCCGTATAGAAGAACGGACAGTACCATGGATTTGTAAACCATCAGCTTCGTGCCAATGCTAAGCTGATGGTTGTTCCACACTCGGTACTCTAGCTTCCCGAATGCCGCTGCCGCCTTCGACACGCGAGTACGCAACTCAACGTGTAGCTGCTGATCAGTCGACATCACACTCCCAAGGTAGCAAAAGCGGGAGGTGGTTTCCAATACTTCAGCACCAATGCTGATTTGCGGTAATATTGAAGATTGCACCTCCGGTGAAGGCTGAAAGAGACAGACAGTTTTGCTTGTGTTGATGGTGAGCACGAATTTGGCCGCTATCGAAGCCAGAGCACTAGTCATGTGCTGCAACTCATCCGCGTTGTGTGAAAACAACGCACAGTCGTCAGCAAACAGCAACATACGGATAGTTGTCTCACAGACTAGAGTTCTCGCACCGAAACGACGGATGTTCAGCAACCCACCATCAATACGGTGCTCCACACGAACACCGTAAGCACAAGCCGCATCAAAAGCACAAGACAACATTGCATGAAGATAGATATTAAACAGAGCAGGAGCTAACACACAGCCTTGCTTCACACCAGAGACAACTGCAAAGTCATCCGAGGTCTCTCCACTCAGCTGCACCCTCGCTCGCATACCACTGTGCAGACATTCAATTAAACTTACAAACTTACGCGGGCAACCAAACTTACCCAACACCAGCCACAGTGCCTCGCGGTTCACCGTATCAAATGCCTTGGTGAAATCAACAAAAAGCGAGTACAAAGGCTGGTGTCGTTCTCTGCACTTCTCTTGCAACTGACGAGCCGCAAACACCATATCTATAGTGCTGCGCCCCGAACGGAATCCACATTGCCCTTCCGCCACGTTTGGTTCCACAATCTGACTCACGAGGCGATTGAGCAGGATTCGGGCAATCACCTTGCCCACACAACTCAGCAAGTTGATGCCACGATAATTCGTGCAACATTGCTTGCTACCTTTGCCCTTGTACAGTGGTAGCACAAGGGCATCCTTCAGCTCACCAGGCACCTCCTCATCAATCCACACGCGTTGCACCAAGTGGTGCAGCGCATTCAACCACGCGGGTCCACCGTGTTTCAATACTTCAGGTGGGATCCCGTCACCTCCGGCACATTTGCCGTTTCGCAGCTGAGCAAGTGCTCTCTGCATCTCATCCAGTCTCGGCGTATCCGCCAGATCCGCCTTCACATCGTGCTGCTTCAGGCCATTCATGTAGGCCAGTCGATCTCTGAACGGTTGTTCAAGAGAGTGTCAAAGTGTTTCCGCCAGATCTGCATTATGTCTGCAGTCTGGGTGCAGGTAGCGCCTGAACTACCATCTATCAGTGTCCTCAGCGGCTCCAATCTCGGTCCATACACCGCCTTCAAGGAGTCAAAGAATTCCTTGTGTTGACGGCGTTCGGCGTAGCATTCCATCTGCTTCGCCTTCTACGTCCACCATGCATTTTTAATGCGACGGAGCTCTCGGGTCAGTCGCCGTCGAAGTTTGCGAAACTGACTACTCTTCCCTAAGTCACTGGGATCTGCCACATGTGCAGCAAATGCTGCGTTCTTCTCTGACACCAATGCGCCAATCGTCACATTGTTGTCATCAAACCAATCAGGCAGCTTACAGTTTGCGCGCCCGATGGTCTCCTCCACAGCAGCTGTCACCTGGTCGAGAATGTGGTGCCATAGTTCGCCCACTGTGGCTATGCAGTCCACATCACCACACAGGCGTGCAGCCATCGCCTTCTCCAGCTCAGTACGTTTCGCCACAGTACCGAGTTAGAGAATGTTAAATTTACGCCGATTCACGGCGAGAGTGCAATACATAGATTTACGAAAATATATGTACAGTTTGGTCCGAACCAATTTGTGATCAGTGCCACACTCAGCTCCACGCAGTACACGTGTCATGCGCACTTCACGCATGTCACGCTGACGTACGATGACATAGTCGAGCAGGTGAGCGTGACCACTCCGTGGGTGCGTCCAAGTTGCTATATCGCTCGCACTCAGTGCAAACCGAGTGTTCGTGATCGTCAGGCCGTGAGTGGCACACAGTGAGAGCAGCCTGTCACCGTTCGCATTCGCTGAACCAATGCCATGCGCACCGATAACATCTGTCCACGCTGATGCATCACGTCCAACGCGCGTTGAAATCACCCAGCAGAAATAGTCGGTCGCTCTTCGGCACAGACCGTATCACGGAGGATAGCTCAGTGTAGAACTGATCACGCGTGTCATCAGGATAACACATGGTCGGACCGTACGTGCTTATAAAAGTAGCAAACTTACCTCCTCCGAGTCGTAGGCGAACAGTCATCAGCCGCGCGCTGATGCCCGTTGGTTCACCCACCAGCTGGCCATTCAGGCGGTCGGATATTGCAAATCCGACCCCATGTTCACGTGGTGCTGAGGCGGCGTTCCCCACCCAGTAGAATGTGTAGCCAGCACCTGCTTCATGTAACTTACCTTGCTCAGCGAGCCGAGTTTCACTGAGCGCCGCAATATCGATGCGGTAGCGCGCCAGCTCCATTGCGACCAGTGCAGTGCGTCGCTCCGGGCGCTCGCTCGAGTTCCGGTCCAGTAGTGTGCGCACGTTCCAGCACCCGATGCTGAGTGCTTTGCGTGCAGGCATACGATTGCATTGGTGGGCAATCGCACGCGAGGTGGTCGTTGTGCTTCGGAGGTTCGCTTGCGGGACTCCACCCGGAGCCTTTGGCATGTATATATATATATATATATATATATATATATATATATATATATATATATATATATGATCAACATACACAACGAAACGACCATACATACACTGTAGAAAAGAAGCTCCCGTGGGAATGAGAAGTGCTCTTCACTGGTATCAGTAAATTACCTCATTTGAAGGCCGATAGTGAGTCGCAACACCAGCCCAGAGAACTTCCAGCCCATTGAGTCTGTGCCCTGTGAGTGCTAGAAAAGCACCAAGACCGGGAAATGGCAACCGAGGCAAAAAATATCCACCCCCAACGTCGGGGAATAGACCAATAGCCGTCTCCGGCATGGAAAACAAAGTTTTTTCAGTCGCGACCCGGTACCTGTGGCAAAAACGTGGAATTTGATGTGAAAAGCAACAAATCCGAGTTACTAAACAAGGAGCAGTAAAGTATAAAAGTGGACCTCATGATGTCATAGACTGATTGATATAGGATGGACAAAAGGAGAGTAACGCAAAAAGGAATATGCATTTTTAATGTATGCCTTGCAATATAACTGGACTGCGCTTGGATTGATTGTGGTTACCTGCTCCTCATCCAATACTCATGCTTTTCATCTCCGTGCCCATTCGTTTGATGTGTGTGCTCGCGTCCATCTCGCGTTCACTTGCGATGTGGTTTCATTTAAACCTGTCACACGCCCGCCACTTCCGGCACGTGAGCACATGCTCGTGTTGAGAATAATAGTTGTCCGTCCCAAGAATCGGCGACTTCAGAACACAAAGCGTAAATTTCCGATGTTTCCTTGTGATATCCCTACGATGAGCTCGTTTAGTATATTTGTTATTGCCCCTTGTGGGTTATGTAGGTTAATTCCATCAACGGTACTCTTAGTTAAATAGTGCACCGTACCCAGTCGATTCACAGTGAATGTGTTGACTTTGGCAGTTTTTAGTTACCAACAGAAACAAACCGCATCTACCTTATTCCCCAGTACCGTGGTCAAATAAGAAAGCAGAAGAGTTAAATTATCAGTTCCACTCATCCCACGAATCGTGAGGCAGGTGGTGATGCTGAGGTGCGGAATACCTCTCCGTCCCGAAAAGGGAGAGAACGGTGAGATCAAATAAGGCGAAAACAAATGTGAGGCGATTATGCTGATAATTTTAGTGGAGCCAAAAGCCAGTAAGTGATGCATTAGAGCGTATGCCACAAAGTATACAACAAGGGTCTTCGGTAGCATATGGACCACGACGTCGAATGAGTATTACACCAATTCACCTGTGTGGTCCCAATAAGATGCCCCAAATGGAGAAATCGCGATAATCCGTCGCGAACTAACTGTAACAAGCGTTTTGAAGGAGAACAAACTAAGATCGGATTTCAGTTATTAATTGGCAGTCGTGCGTAGCAACTCGTGGCACTAGGCAGTATGCCTATTGGTGGCCTCAAAGACGTGCTGTTTCATCACCTTGCCCACAAGCTGAAATAAGCATGGTTAGAAAGATAGTAACGATGTTGTGTCTCCGGAAAAAGAAGGACGTGCTTTATTAACAAAAAGCGACACTTCCTAGTTGTGTCTAGCGTTGCACGCATCAGCGAGTGCCGTGTATCTTGAAGAAGAAAATGACTGTGACAAGGCTGGGATGGTGCAATAGTTTCACAATCATAGAACAACTATTTGGAGTGGTTGATCGTTTTACTTATCTTGGCGGCTGATCGCATATGGTGCGCTGGCTTTCCTAAGCTCTAGTTACTTATGCAGGTGGTGGGATAACAGCTAACTGGGTGAGGATGGTATACAACACTGCGAAGTGTCTAGTGTTACGGTAAGGATAATAACGGTGGCCGATACGTGCAGAAATGATTGAGCACGTCTGACTACCGATACCCCACATGCCTGCAAGTCAACTCTTTCATCGTGCACCATCTGCCAATACCGCAGCTAGTTGAATTAGTAATCGAGCAATGACATAACAAAAGAGCCAGAGGAAACTTGTCTTCTTAGATGGTACCCATGAGACAGGCTGCGTAACCGGTACTCCACTGGATACGGAACAAACACAAAATCAGTGACACTCTTGCTCATGTTTCTGGCTTCTGACCGCTCCTTCTGATGTATGCATTTCTTGTCCTTTCCTTTTAAATTGATATTGTCATCATTATTTTTGGCCATTAGTCAAGGTAACCGGATCCATCGCACCTATGTTTACGGATCGTAGTTTATCATCAGAACTGAGCAGAACATCCGCTCTCACATTACATTTCCCATCGACATGGATAGGGGTAGTCTCTTCCTTCCATACCTGTACGAATATGTGGGTCAGTGGTTCGCAGAGGATCCTACCACCACCTTTAAACAGTGCAAGTGGGAGGGGATTCAGGCCACCAGCACGAAAAGGTTAAAGGGCTGTGATCGCGTTTCGGACCTCAGCTTCCGACGAGCCTATAAACTAAAAGGTCTATGGTTCAGCCTGCATCCGCTGAGTAAGAAGGGGTCCAGGAGCAGGGGACCAACTGAACTGCTCTCGAAAGTAAACCGCTTAACAAGCCATATAGCATGCCTTATTGTGAATTAGTGGACCCATACTGACTCTGGCTGTCTCGCTAATGCGTGGTTTCTTTGGACCATTGGTGAGGATCAGTTGGAAGATCTTGCGATAATTGCCTACTGCTCCTGCCTCCGCCATTTTCTGAGCCATACTAATCCACCGGACTTCTATGTCAGCAGGTACGCTCCGCTTTAGTTAGCGTCTAACAGTCCATATGGTTACATGGTGCTCAGAGTCAGTCGGGAGATTTCATCTGAATTCCAAAAGGTCCACCGACCTCTCGGACATGCAGCGACTGGTGCGGTGACTACTGATAGTGTCACAACCGGAGGCTCACGCATCGCGCATAGCGGCCGAGATCCTATTCCACTGAAGTTCAGTGTCATGAGGACAAGACAGCGAAAGTTCGGTATGCAGAGCATCCTGATCGATTTGCTTGACCGAGGACTGAAACAGCTTCTAAGTTGTCAATCGAGATACGCTTGGTACGCCTACCGGCTAAGTCCATGGAAAAACGACGGTGTATCAAAACATGATGGGAGTCAAAGCAGGTATTCAGTACGAGCGACAGTCCAGGATGGAACCATGCCACCTGTAACTTATGGCAACGTAATCAATTTGGATACATCGCTGGCCACCTATAGGTGAACGTCAACTGGTAATTCGGCACTCACTATGTCTAAAAATGATGCTAGTAAGAAACAGCTGGCGCTCCGCACACAGGTTACAGACGCTAGCCCTTGTCCGTCCGTTCGAGTTCAGCCCGTAATTACCACCTAGCTGAGCTACTGAAGAGCCCAGATAACCTACTTGCGCACTCATATCTCCTGCAAGTACTATGATATGTGAACCAGTAGCGTTGAATTGCAGCGTGTTCAGTTCATGGTAGAGGGCGTTCTTGACAGTATCAGAGCAGCAGTCAGTGGGGGAATAAGCGGAAACCACAATCGAACAGCGTCTGGTACTGCTTCGTGAACCATCCTTAGTTGACGTCAAACGGGCTGTACATAAACAGCTGTTCACAGGAATCCAATCAACCAACAACGACTCAACCTTGGAGCAGAGAACCATGCCCACACCAGCATGACCAGTGGTTGCAGCATCAGCGTCCGAAATGCGGGCGAGAAGACAAGCCGGGCGCACTGAGGGTTATTGATCCTAGTTTCGGATACACAACACTGTCAACACCTAATGTGTCCAACGTGCGCGCAAGTGCAGTCGGTTGACCTATTTATCTTAGAGTGTGAACACTGAACGTCGCCAGAAAAACAGGACAGCGTAGCTTGATAAGGGATTGTTGCCAAAAGGCGTCCAGTTTGCGGTTCGGGGAAATAGCTGCATATGGTTCGACTCCAACGACATTACGGCTGCTACCAATTAAGCTGGGAATTGTGGAAGGACGGTTAATAATGAGGTTGGGAAGGAAACAACTGAAACTGGTGGAAAATGAAGAAGGGAAGTGCAGTTGCATGTTTTCGCTTATCTATCCTGCTGTATGTAGTAGACAAGGTAGCCCTTAGTAAGCTGTGCGACGGACGGTACAGGATGTTCAATTTTGAAGAAATAGTCGTGGTTGTACGCGGGCTGAGATAATGTCAGGACGCCCAGACCTAAACAGGAGGACAATTAGAGTCTTCGGCCAAAGTTTTTGGCTCAACAGCCTGTCAGCAAGGCAGCGGGAGGTGACAATGATTCAAATACAGAAATCGAGGTCGTCCCATTTCAAACCCCCAACCCGGAGGATCAGGAGTCTGAGTTTGTCTGACTTCTAACCATTGACCAAAATGGTAGGAGTAGCTCTGAAGGCGCCCAGGAACACCACGCAGTATGGCTCAATGGGTCGATGAGGTACACAAATCGTAGCAACATGTTAAGGCCAAATCTCACTGAGACGGAATATCAGCCTGCCAGTAAAAGGTAGGGTGTATAACGTTGTGATAAGGCCGGTGTTACTGTGTGGATCAAAGACCTCGCCAGTTTGCAACGAAGACGTTAGAAGCTTGGCCTTGTTTGACCACCGGTGCTTGCGAAGTATTGCTCACAGCTTGTAGCAACACCAAGTAAACAATGTTGAGGTCCGCGAGTTGAATTTCGATAAGAAACCTTTTGATGTCTCACTCGAATATTTATTGAATCCTAACCGCTTACGTTGGCTAAATCGTGTCTCCCGAATGCCAGTCGATCAACTTCATCGTCGTGCATTATGTACCGTTGCTGCGCCCAGATGGGTGAAATCGCGATCGTCGTCATCAACAGCAGTACATCAGCCATTTGAATTGATGCCTCGCTGCCATACAAACACGATATGTTACGGAATGAAGAATAAGAAAGAGAGAGAAGTGGGAGCTGGCGTAAAGCCTTACTACCCGAAACACCCTCAAGGTCAAAGCGCATACACTTTGTCAAAAACATACCGCCACAAACAGCGGGCTATCGTGCAAAAATAAGGCGGCATTGGCGAGACAGATTCCTTGCGGCTTTCATCGCCTCGCATCATAATCAGCCATTACGGCGTCACGTTAGCGGCGAAACCGCGAGATTGATGACGTAGCATAAATTCATGAAGAAATTGATCGGGAGACTTAGTCAGGCTGATGCATGCCATCTTCGTGAATGGAGACCGCGGAATGGTTCACATCAGTGGTTAGAAGCCTATCAGACATGGTCAAATCGCGCAGTCAGTGGGGCCCCTGCATTTCGTTTCTTGCATCTAGCTGTTAATCTTTACCCTATCCCAACTGATTGCAATTTTGAGTCCGGGTGGCATTTTCTTATCGTTGTTACGTAATGTTATTCTGGCTACGTAAATCGTGCCAACTGGATGCACCGCAGTTCGGTGCCCAGATCATGGCTGTTCAACTTCAATGAACTGATATTCGGCCGCTCAAACCATGCATAGTTGCAAAGATATCATCGCGGGATACCCGTATATAACTCTAAGAACCACAAGTTAAGCATAACAGGGGATATTGCATATTCAAGTAGCCATAGTAATCTAATATGAGATCCAATAGCGTCGGTGAAATGAATACAATTAAAAACCAAGTGATAGGACTTACGGACGATTGGAAAGCGCGGCTGCAGGGCATGAAAGTGGAAAACTGAACGACAGAGTTGAAGTCTAACTCTTGGCCAACACTAGTAAAACGACTTTGAAGTGGTCAAATTTGAACTTAGGGAACACGCTGCATGGTTGATTTGTGACACGCAACCTCTATTGTGACCTCGGTTCACTTTGAGGTAAACCTCAGTCATTCCGATCGCGAGGACCGTATGCGGAATGGAAATATTTGGGTGTTTCTCCTGCGAACACTGGCACACGGCTAGTTAGTTACCAGTTAACGCTGTGAGTCAGTACACTGTTAATAGTGCTTGACTTCCAGTGACAAGTCCTGTGCTCCATCAACGCGTGGCAAGAATCCATTTGCAAGTACCTAGCCGGAAAGAAACCAAACCAAGGAAAGCAGAAATGTGCGCAAACACAAAGCCCTAATGATATGAAACAGTAAAGGAATGACTTACTTGCCGTGGACTGACAGGCCAACACCCCCACCCATCGTCACTCCATCAATCAGCGCTATGAAAGGTTTTGACAAGGTACCAATCAAATAGTTTAGCTGATATTCCTCTCGGAAGAATGTTTGGCAAAGCATAACGTCCGTCTTTGCGACATCAACCAGAGCACGCACATCCCCACCGGCACAGAAAGCTCTTCCGCCAGACCCTTCTATAATAACGTGAGAAATCTTAGCATGCTAATCAAATGGCAAAAACATACTCTGGGGTTTTCATTCCACTTTTTCAGTTGCGGGTAAATTTGTCGGATCATTGGTACGTTGAGCGAATTTAACACTTTGGGCCGATTCAAAATGATTATTCCGCAGGATTTCGTTTCGATCAAAATGCAGCTTTTAGCTTCAGTGGTGAAAGAAGCAAAAGTGAAACACGGTCCTAAACCAGACCTTGAAAGTAGCCTCATGAGCGCCATGAGTGAAATGGCTATAGCCACGATAAAAATGTCTGAAGGTAAAAATAACAGTGACTGTAATTCACTTATGTTCAAGTTCATATAAGACTGGAAAGGTAAGAAAATTGTGTGTTCCTTCCTGAGCAGATAATTGAGACAAATTAACACGGTGTTCTGAGGTCTTGATCAAGCTCCAAAAGTTAACCCCCGAACCACACCCAGGGCAGCCAAGTACTGCCCAATTTTCCTGAACTAGCAGTCTGTTGTGTCCGTCGCATGAAGTAAGCAAGAGATAGGAAGAAAATGAAAGGAAAGTAAGTAGAATGATCATTTGTGTGAGCGATAATACTAATAAGTGAAGGCAGACACAGAAAACAAAATAGAAGTATGATGATGGATATAGTTAAGGGAAGGGAAAGGTTAAGTGTTGTCAAACAACAACATCCAACAGTCGCTCAAAACTTTTGACCGCAGAGACTTCTTATTAATTTGCTATAAGCGAGTTTCAGCGCTCGATTACTCGACGCGATAAATGATTTCGGACCGTGGCTGTCCTTTAGGTTACGATAATTGACCGCTTTCGCGGCAGACTTAAGTGCGAAAAAATGTCAAATGCTTCCGAAAAATCCACGTACATAGTTACAGTCCAGTAATGATAACGGTGAGCAATTATTTCATTTGTGTAAAGATGCCCTCTAATTTCCTTGCGAGTGCTAACTTCCGACACAGCACACGCCGGAGGGTGACATGGCGCCCACCACCCTGAGACCAGTCTTGGGCACAGATCGATCACATTGTGGTTCGTTTCTGCTGGAGAGGCTGCGTATAAAACTATCGCTCGCTTTGGAGCACATGAATGGTCACTGATCATGCATTTGGATGTGCTGACATGCGGATGCGTTTTGGCGGACGCCCACGACGATGGTGTGAGCGCATTGACACTAGCCAACTGGCGAACTCAGCTGTTCTGAATGCGTATCGAAGTACGCTAGCATACGGATTGATTAAGCACTCACCGAATACAATTGTAGGCCACTGGTCCCATGTTCACCAGATCTTACCAGCAGCAGGCATACCCTCAAATGGTAGGTTTAATAGACAACATGGACGTTGGGTCTCTTCGCGGTGTCTGGAACTGATCAATGCTCGCCAGCACATTCCACCTGACAGCAAAAACAATAAGACTCGCAAAGATTCCAGGATAAGACTCCGGGTTAGCCTGAAGAGAAATAGCGAATCTTCGTGGTCTCATCGTGTGTCAGAGATGGAAGTGGCCTCTGCCCTTGGTAGGCATCGGAAGTTATTCTGTCTGATACAGGAAACGAGCAGCAGGTAAAACAATTTATGACAAGAGTAGACAGATTATCCACAACTTGTCAAAACGCTTGGGGCGTTCGGCTGAGCATTTCAAAAAGCAATTTAATCGGTTGGAATTGTTAAATGCCCTACCAGCCAGTGATCGTCCTGATCTCCAGACTGTCCTTTTGGATCCGCGCTTTCGCTCAGAAGTCGAACGTGAGATCGGACTGAAGTTGAACAAGACCGCAGTAACAGATGATCTTCATAAAGCCCTCTTCAAATTCAGGGGACCTGCTCTTGTTAATGATTTACAGGAGTTACCAATGAAACCGTGGGAGTAGGAAACTATCGCAACCGGTTGGAGCCACTTTGTCATAGTCCCAATTTTCAAGTGAGGTTCACGATCGGAATTCGGCAACCATAAAGGGATCAGTCTGATCTCCATCCCCTTAAAGTTCCTTGCCAGTGTCACCCATTGCAGACGTATTGACACTCCTGAAAGCCAGATTCGTGAAGAGGAAGCCGGGTTTCGTCCAGATCCCGGCTGCATCGACCACATCCGCATCTTGCGTCAGCTGTTGGAACATAGTCACATATATTGGCGACCCACCGTTGTCGTGTTCCTCGACATCAAAGGTGCCTTCGATTCGGTTAACCGATGGGCACATTGGGAATGGGTACTCAGAAAAGGTGCATAAATATTATTCGACCGTTAAACGAGCATAGCTCAGGCTTACGGCAAGCTATCGCCGCACTTCAATACCTACAGCGATGTGAGACAAGGATGCCTGCGGCGACGTTTCCTCTTTAACTTCGCTATTGACAAAGTCATGGAAATCGCATTCACAATATACGAGTTAGATGTGGATCTGCTATCAGGCGAACGACTTCCTGACTTGGAGTATGTTGAGGACATTGACCTCATCTGTGACAGCTCACAAGCGTACCAAGCAACACTGAATAGATTAGCACAGGCTGCCAACCGTTTCAAAGTTTGCTTTGCAAACTCAAGGTGCAGAGCTTTCCTCCAAAATTGGTATGGACCGCCTCCTGCGCGGAGCCTTGTAAGGAATCCGTTAGACGTCGTCGAAAAATTCATCATTTGTCAGTGCTTTTGGGATGGAAGACGAGATCATGAACCGGATAGAAAAAGCTCAATGCGCTTTGCCAACTTTCGCCACCTATGACGCCGGCACATCACTCTCTCTCTGAATGGTAGAGGGCACAATGCAGCGGTACGTTCGACTCTACTGTACGGTCGTGAAACCTGGCCCATTAGATCGGCAGATGTAAGGAGACAAATTTCGGCCGCCCCCCGTGCCGTCGCAGTTGCGCTTACATCTGGTGCGAACACCGCGCGAGCAATGAGCGTGTTCGACGCTTTGTTTATGACACAGGAGGAGGAAGTGAACCACTCAACACCGTTATTTCACGCACCAGGCTCCGATGGCTTGGCCACGTGTTGCGCATGCCAGCCCAGCGGCTCCTACGACGTGCGTGGTTTGCGCCGGGAGTTTGGATGGAGGAAAAGGAAGGATGGCTAAGCGAAGACTTGGTCGAGAGGAATGAAGGCCCTCACTTCGAAGTTGGTCTCGGTTTTAGCCTCTCGACTCCCTGGTTAGGGTCCGAAGGAGGATGAACATATTTGGCTGGATGCACTTGCTGTTATAGATGGGAGCCGACCTCAGTAGCGCAGGTGTTGTTTTTTGTCCCTTCCTATCCATTTTAGTCTCCCTCTCTAACCGCAATCTCATTTCTCCGCATAATAAATTTATTTTGCTGCATAGTATCCGGCTGTTCGTTTTCCAGAACGACGGCCATCTGTTACTGGTAGCTCAACTAGCGTGCATGCTTTTCTTAAGTATAGCGGCACCTGAGCTGAGATGCTTTGCACCTCTATCTAACGAATATAATGATGTATAATGATGGCCATTATCCACTACATGAGCCCGATCCATCAGACACGAAAATCGCTTCCGGAATATGTATTGTGCACTGCTAAGCGGATTAAATCTATTCAGCTGACTCCAATACACGTTAACTGAGGAGGAGAAACATATCAATTATTGTGCCGCGATACAAGACATTAGACATCATAAAATAAAAAAGTAAAAAGGAATATACTAATATCATATTATGCGTAGGATATGAGGCCGTTGCTGGAGGGGGAGGTAAAGGGGATTGGAGGGAAAGACTCACAACACAGACGCCATTGAGTTCGGCTCTTTGCTAAGTTAACAAGTGTATCCAACCAGACGTGTTCATTGTCCCTCGGACCCCAGCCCGGCAGTCGGGAGACATCAACCGACGTCAACTTCGAAGTGACGGACTTCATTCCTGTTGATCAAGTCATGCTTGGCCTCTCTTCCTTTTCCATACAAACTTAGGGGCACGCAAACGTACGACGCGGAATTCCGTTTGCTGGTATGCGCAACACCTGGCCAAAAATCGGAGCCTGGGGAGTGATATAACGGTAATGAGTGGCTCACTCACTCTTTCTGCCCCAAATATGCGACGCCGAACACGCTCATTTCTCATGCTAAGCTGTGAAGGCAGAGATAGTCGAACGTAGATAACCGCTTTATGTCTGCCGACTTGATAGGTCAGGTTTCGAAAACGTGGCCGAAAGGATCACATGCCTGCCTTGTAGACCGGTCACCGTTCAAGCGCGCGAAGAGGACCTGGCAGCATCCTTAGCCCACTAGCGACTGGCGGTGGTTGTGTGGCAGCAAAGCGTCGGTTCGGCGCACCGGTGTGCTGCTGATACTTTCGCCTTTATTCATTTTCTTTTAACGAATTTAGCATCAGCCTTTCAAGCAGTTTGATTATGATGCTAATCAAATTAAAATGTAATTGGCAGGGGGCTTAGGTTGCATTTTTGTAGGTGTAACAGTAGATAGCTGCCTTCCAATCAAAATGTAAACTAAACCTGTCAAGTGACGCGGCCCTAAGTGGTCCAGTTATCATCATCAGTATACACGTTAGTTGGCGGGAAACACATCAAATATTGTGCTGCAATAGATGAGAAAATAAGAACACGCAACAGATACACGCCAGCTCAGACACCAATAACGGATGAACATCATGTTGGAGAGCTAATAGCCGGCCCACAGTTTTAAGGACCACAAGCGCCTTGTAATCTAAGGGCGCGAGTACGAGCATGCGTAGAGACCGGGCGAGCCTCACAGTATCCTTAGCCTACGTGAGACCGGTGATGGTTGCGCCCGTCAGCAAAGTGCCGATACTGTGTACTGGCATAATGCCAATGACTTTCTTTTAGCCAGCCATATGCCGTAAAACATTTACACTATGTGTCAAATGAGATCGTGGTTGCAAGGGATTGTAAACGGGATGCGGAGCGATAAAGAAACCCACCACACAAACGCCGTTGAGACCAGATGCTTTCCGTAGTAATAAGTGCATCCAGGCAAATAACTCCATTAAAACTCGAACCCCAACCACGGAGCCGAGACGCTTCGAGCAAAGCTAAATTCGAAGAGCTTTAATTTATCTTGATCAAGTCCTCGTTTGGCCTAGCTGGCTGGCTTGCCGAACAACCTCCTCGTGGTGCCAGCTGGGTGGTTCGGGTTTTTCCCGATCCAGCGAATGGTTCGGCAGCAGTGTTCCAGGACGTGGTGGGTTTTCGCCTGGCAAGCGTTCTCCCTATAAAAAGCCACATATGTCCGTTTAACAACACTGCGGCGTGGCGGATGTGACTCGCCAATAAATAAAGTCACTGCCCCTTGCCCCTCCCT